TCACCACATTTCAACACAACCTTGCAACATCCCCGCAATGTAACCAGGGCACGGTCGTGAGAGTCTTTCATTTGTGGCAAAAGGATCTTGGAGACAGTGCTGAACTTTCCCGTCAACCAGTGTCGTGAGATGCTGTCTTGCCAGTTAAAAGCTGCAATTTGAAGTAGTGGGAGGCAGGAGATGGTGTTGTGGTTCAGTTTAGAGTACAAGGAGTTATGAGATCAGCTCAGATTTCTCCAAAAGACTCCAACCTCTTAGCTGTTCAGCTCAAAGAAATCTTTGAAAAAATAACACATTCTCCTCAGGGGGTGGGGTGGGTGGAGTGGGGGTGTTATATTAAAAGGTTATGAAAGCAGTGTGAAATATGACAAAACAAGAGGAAGTTCAAACCTTGCTCACTGTCACTTAGAACTTGTAGCCTGTTGTGTTGTGTCACACAAATTGTCAGAATTGCAAAATCCTTAACAACACAGCAGCATGTGGATATTTTGTTTGTGTTAGATTAATGGGTTTCAGTAATGTTTGTTTGGTTAGTATTTTCTCCTGGTTGGTTGTTTGGTTTATTTTGGGTCTTTTTAATTATAGTAAGTTTCCCCCCTTTTTGTTTAGTGTAGGCTAGCCTGTGTGCATATATACCCGTCCTTTTATGTCATTCAGGAGGTCAGGTTTGTTATGTTCAGACTGTTGTAGTATTGTTACGTTGACCTTAGTTTAGTTAAGACCCACTTTGAGTAATTCTGTTGATACCTTTTTTTGTGTGTAATATGGTTAGAAACTGGGTGGTGCAGTGGTACAGTGGTTAGCACTGTTGCCTCACAGCAAGAGGGTGGTGGGTTCAAACCCCGGTTGCCCCATCCTTTCTGTGTGGAGTTTGCATGTTCTCTCCGGTTGCTCTGGCTTCCTCCCACCGTCCAAAGACATGCAGGCTATGTGTGGCCCTGCGATGGATTGGTGACCTGTCCAGGGTGTACCCCCCATTTGCCCAATGTCAGTTGGGATTGGCGACCCTTGACGATGGATGGATGGTTTGAAACTTTACTTGATTTGTTGGCTAAATAAAGCCTAAACTTTATTTGACCTTGTGTCCCTGCCTTTACTGCTTGGTCCCTGACAAACCCCCAACGATAATTTAGTGGAGATGATCCAACAAGCACTGATACCCACACCAGAGTTTTCAGGACCACGTGCAGACCATACTTGACTGACATCTCCCTCACTCTCCTGTTCTCTTTGTCCCAGCAGTTGGGGTTACACCTTTATGATTCTGTTGAGCATATTGTTTTAGGATTTTGAGCCGCAAACTCACAGTACAGCACCAATCAACTCCAAGCTGTTGACACAGAAAATTAGACTCAACTCACCTATGCAGCCTACATGGCTACTGTTGGCAGTTGTGTACCCAGCGTGGCAGGTGCAGCTGTAGTTTCCAATATGGTTAGAACAATTAGCAGCAGGACCACAGATACTGAAATTATCGAGGCACTCGTTAAAATCTGACGGAAGAACAAGTAAAGGTGGGTAAGACCGGTTGGACACAAAAGAGACATTGGTCACACACATACACACACACTCACCTATGCACTGTCCCTCTGTGCTTTTGAAGTTACTTTTCCCATGATTGTTTGTGAACCCATGCTGGCACTGACAATAGTAGCTGCCATTCGTGTTGAAGCATTTTGAGTGATTCCCACAGAATCCGGGGTCTATGCACTCATTCGTATCTGGAAATTTAGATACAATTACACGAAGCACAAACAATACAATTATAGTCATAAATCTGATAGATCTGTTTAATGCATATTACAAAATGTAAAACCCTGTTTTATTCTCTGTCAGTAAATAGTAAAACTTGTCATTTTAATTTAAGCAGTCTTTAATAGCTGTTTTTCCTCTAGCTCCTCTGTCCACTATGACACTGAGGTTACAGCACTGCCGTTTGAGCATTTTTGTACTTTCTGCTGGTTGCTTGAAATTGTGATGATCTAAGAAGTTAAACCTCTTCTAACGTGGATTTCATTGCAATCCACTCCTGATATGAGCGTTGCTTAAATGCCTAAAATGGAAAAACGAAGTGGAACGTTTCCTGGTCCACTCCAGTAAGAGGTATTGCACAATGAGAAAACCATTTATTTCTGAGAGTTCTTGTCTTAAGTAGGAATTACAATAAAGCATTGGTGGGCAGAAGCAAGACATTGAGAGGGATGGTTAAAACTAGAGGTCAAAGCAGGTTATTACCAACACAGACACGGCCTTTTGATTCGAAGCCCATGGTGCAAGCAGAGAAACATTTCCGCAGCATACACAATAAGCCTGTGGGGGAAAAAAAGAGAGGGTACTTTATTTAAATTCACAGTAAAGGCAAAATCTTCCAATAACAAGGAAGACACAATAAAAAAGAGCAACCACACCTGTGGGATTTACCATTTTTTATGCTTTATTCTTTATGAGAAAATTCCAAGAATATTTTTTGCACAAAAAAAAGTCACCCTTGAGTTGTGACTTGGGCTTCACTGATGACGGTGCAACATTTGAGCAACAATTAAAAATGTGTGTAATCCTGCGCATATTAGCGGTGCCCTATTTTAATAATTGTGCCTGCCCCTTAATGCAAAATATAACAAAACTTCCCCCAACTGAAAATTGAGGATTACATGAACTTTGCTGTAAAGCTTTTACATGATTTCCAGTAAGAATGCATATGATTTAGGATACATATCAAAAGGTATGTCCAGTGTTCCTCTTTTTAAAGGACCCTCACTAAAGATAAAGCAGATGTAGCCTGCTTGGGTTCAATGGTGACCCAGAGTAAAATAAAAATATCAAAACAACAGCAGAAACTTCTCAAATAACTCCTGCAGCATATATCGGTTGTCCATCGAGCTACTCTAGATAAGTACATTACCAGTACATGCAATATTATCTACTCATAACTCCCCAAATTTCAGTGGAAATGGAATATTTAATGATTCATTAAGATAAGATAAGATATTTGTTGATCCCCTGTAGGGGAAATTGTGGTTGACACAGCAGCACAGAGGAATGTAAAAGAACACATACAATAAAAATAGAATTGGTAAAGTGACAGTTATTTGGAGCATAAATGGATCAACAGTGGAAATGTGGAACTATATACAGTATTAGGAGAGGTTTGTGGACTTTATTAACCATGCTAGCAGCATGGCTCTAGGGATGGCAATGAGTCAGTCTGTGGAAAGGTCAGTTGGCCCAAAACTTTGAAATATCTCTCCAGATACTGGATGATGTCATAAAATAGTGGACAGACATTCATGGTTCCTAGAGGTGGAAACCTTTGACTATGGCAGTGATGGGGAGTAACTAGTTACATGTTTAACCTTCTTTGAATAACTGTAATCTGTTCCAGTTACTGGGAAAAACTGTGTAATTAAATTATAGTTACTTATGAAAATGTTCACGATCACATTGGGGGTTACATTTGAATATTTTCTGTAAAAAGCTAGGCTATATGTAGAACAATATTGATTTTGTTCTACATATAGCCTAGCTTTACATGTTTTCCATGTGCACAGTGTCTTCCTTTGCCATTTCCAGCTACAATCATTTAGTAAAGTTTGATGATATTCTAATGCTTTTGATTGATTCTCATGTTTGAATTTGCATCACCGCCCCTCTGCCAGTTTAATTGCCTCTCAAGCAGTCTTTTGAAAATGGTTAATAGCTGAAAACATTCATGAGAAATTTAGAAAAGTAATCAAAAAGTAATTACATGTAATACGTTACATTACTTTGATAAAGTAATTGAATTAGTTACCCTAACCCTAAGCCATTACTATTCCATTTTAAATTGTGTAACTTGTAATCAGTAACTTATTATATTTCCAAACTAATCTACCCAATTCTGGACTTTGGTCATCACCTGATGTTTTGAGTGAAATATCTCAATACTTTTGGATGGCTTGCCATGAATTATTGTTCAGACATTTATGTGCCTCTCAGGATAAATTGTAATAACTCTGGTAATCCCTTAACTTTTCATTTAGCACGCTAAACATCCAGTAAGTACATTCATTGTGAGCATGTAAGATTATTGATTGATTTATTATTGATTACTCTACCCTACCTAGCACACAGAGACACATTTTTACATTTTAGTCTGTACCTTTAGTAATTAAGTCTGTACCAATATTGCCTTTACTGTCTGTACTTCTGTGTGGATATTGTGTAGGCATCTGCCTGGTGGGAATTGTTGGGTTTCTGTAGATAACATCACAGAGTACGGTCTAGACCTGCTCTTTTATGATAAGAGCTATGAAATAACTGTTGTTGTGATTTGGCACTGTATGAATAAAACTGAATTGAATTGAACAGTATGGCTGTAAAGAGTATTTTCATTAACTTGTTGGGTCTAACTAGAGAGAGTTCAGGTGAGTCTTTGTGTGTGTTTGTCTTTCCCATTCCTCTGAGAATGAGGACATATTTCACAAAAAGTGCAGCTTCTTGTCTACTTAAATCCCTTAACACAGCTAGTAAGTGAGCTTAACATATGTGTCCACAGTTTTGTTGAATTACATATGTGCATGATCCATTTTAGTGTAATTTTTTTTCTTCCTCCTGCTAAACTCCACCCATGACTCCACCCCCTGTCTGTCACATTACTTACACAGGACAACTGACAAATATAAGTCACATTTTTTGACTCATGAGTCACTGGTAAGGCAGAAAACAACGTCCTGTCCACATGGTGTAAGTAAAAAAGTACCCCAAATCTCTCAGTGACAGTGAGTATGTGAGACTGTGACCGAGTCTAACGTCTTGACTAAATAACTGCATACAGAAACAGATCCTGAAAGTATACAAAGACTGACTTTGTTGTCAGCTCGCAGCTGACTTTCATTCACCAGTAAGCACAGTGGTGAATGACAATAGTTGTCTGTCATATAAGCTGTCCTCTCTGTATGTCTCTTCTTTCTCACATTTCTTTGTAAGCTGTGTGTAGCATTTTTTGTCTGTCTGTCTCTAGTCCATTACATTTAAGCCTGATAGAAAGTGGAAGTTATGAACACAACCTAAGCAATGCTTGGCACTCAGTAAACAAATTACAATGATGAAGATTTTATTGATTACCAATAAAACAAAACTTGCAGGGGCTCCAGTTTGTGTTTGACATCATAGTATGAACAAAGGCAGCTGTTCTGGCTTATAGTATAAAATAATTTACTATTTTTAGGGTCATAAATCCAGGAATAGCTCCTCAAAAGAAAAAACATCAATAGTGTCTCATATTGTGTTCCCTCAGAAACACCTTTTCAAACATGAGGGACAAATGCTGAACTATGCTTCATCCCCCTCAATCAGGGCTTCTTTTAGGCCATAGCCAATATCAAATTGTTGAAATCCAAAAATATAGAAGGCTATGCATTACTATAAAACTGAGTTACTTGATTTTTTTCCTTTTCTTTTTAAACACATAGGGCCAGCAGCCTTGACTTTTAAGCTGCTAAAGGTTCCACCACATTCACAAGCCAGTGCAAAGTATAGTATACAGTGGGTATATCAGAGCTTTAACACTGAAAGCAAATGTCTTCTACTGCAGGACACAAAGTTGATGAGAGTTGTGAAAACCAAAACCGCAACATTGTGGGCCAGAAAATTAAAACAATGAGCTAAAAGAAGCTAAAATGCTGTCAAGCTCATCAGTCGTTAATATGAAAATACTGTTCAGGGCTGCTGTTAGTGCTATTTTTGAGTACTTCTGCTTTTGAATGAATCAATAGTGTGACAAGGAAACAAGTAATCATTTTTTCATCTTTTCAGGGAACTAAAACTCACTCATTTTCATTACCTCAAAACATACCACTAACCCCAATATCTAACTCAGTTTAGAATACTATAATGCAGACGTAAACTTTCTGGACCTGAGATTCACTGGAGATCTACATGAATATTTGCACACGCAGATGTACAGGAAATACATTCTTCTTAAAGGCAACTTCCAGCCAAAAAGCCTCATATCAAATATTAGATAGTTTCAGAGGCTTAGGAGGATCTGTAATACTGACAGATGATTGCATTATGCACAAAACGCAAGCATGCGGGAGGGATTGGCTGAGCACAAATACGCTATTAGGATCCACATCCCCAATTAGCCCATGGCTGAGCACTATAGGACCATGGGCTATACTAACCCAGACACTTCAAAAGCCATGGTCTTAGAAGTCATTACACAAAATGCAAGGGGTGGCAACAAACTCAAACGTCTCCTTCAATGGGAGACTTTTTGGGTGAATACCCTTAGGGCCACTTCCTTCTTCTTGGTGAAGAACTAGACTTTTTCTACTTCCTATAACTTGTTTGTTTGTTTTGTCATGAGATATAGCATTTACATAGATAGATTTCTACACAGCATTTCATGACAAACAAAGTGTTGCTAAACTATATTGTGATGTTATTCTCTTCTGTTCGAAACTTCTAATCTTTCTAAAAAATTCTAATCAAATCTAAAGCTGAGTGATGCACAGACAACAACCTACTGCTCACCATCAGCAAAACTAAGGAGCCGATTGTTGATTTTAGGCAAAAGGAGACAAAGACACACACTCACTGTCTATATCAGTGGAGCTGAGGTGGAGCAGGTAAACAGTTTCAGGTTCCTGGTAATCAGTAACACAGAGAACATGACATGGTCATCTCACATCTGCATGCAGGTGAAGAAATCTCAGAAACGACTGTATGTCTTGAGGAAGCTTAAGAAGGCCAAATTCCCACACCAATGTCAATTTCTTCAGAGGAGCAATCGAAAGCATCCTGACTGGAACCATCACCAATTAATAATAATAATAATAATAATAATCCTTATTTGTAGAGCACTTTTCAAAAACAAGTTACAAAGTGCTTTAACAAGTGTAAAGAATAATACAAAAATAAGATAAGATAAGAGCATGAAAAATTTATATAAAATTAGTAAAATACAATAAAATAAAAGGGATAAAATAAAGTCAAATAAGATCGGGAAAAGCTCTCCTATAAAAGTATGTTTTAAGAAGGCACTTAAGAGTTCACTGACTCAGCCGACCTGATTTCCTCGGGCAGGCTGTTCCAGAGCCTCGGGGCCCTGACAGCAAACGCTCTGTCCCCTTTAGTTTTCAGTCGAGACTCTGGAACAGACAACAGACCTCTGCCCGAGGATCTCAAGGTACGTGCTGGTGCGTATGGGACTAAAAGGTAAGAAATATAACAAGGCGAGAGGCCATGAAGAGATTTAAAAGTGATCAATAGAATTTCAAGGTCAATTCTAAAACATACTGGGAGCCAGTGTAATGAAGCTAAAATAGGAGTAATGTTGAGTTCTGGACAGTCTGGAGTCGATCAATAGATTTTTGGGTTAAACAGGTGAAAAGGCTGTTGCAATAATCCAGGCGTGATGAGATGAAGGCGTGTAAAATGGTCTCGGTGTCTTAAAAGTTAACATAGATCGAATTTTTGCTATATTTCTAAGTTGATAAAAACATGATTGAACAAGCTTTGTGGTGTGCTGCTCGAAATTTAAATTACTATCAAACCAAACACCAAGGTTCTTTTTTAGACCAATTTTAGACCAGATTTGCAGACAAATCTAGATTTGCAGACAAATTGGCATGCAGGACTAGAGGGCTCTGCAGCCGGTGATCAAAAATGCTCAGAAGATGATTGTTACAGGGCACAAAGGATACTAAATTAAAGTACCTACTGCAGTTACAGCCTGTTCACCCTGCTGCATTCTGGAAGATAATTATCTGCAAAGCAGCAGCTTTTTCATTCAGGCTATGAAATTCTTAAATTTCTGTGTATGGATTTCTGTTTACCATTTTGTAATATTTGTATATAGTGTCTGCTTTGTAGCAGAAGGGACCTACAAACTGCATTTCATTTCACAACCCAGTGGTAGAATGACAATTAAATTTACCTTGTACCTTGGTATAGTGTTGTCTACATTACTGTATATTACTGCCTGATGAAGACTCTCTGAGTCAAAAGGCGTTGGTTATACTTATTATATAGTATAGTCATTTTTCTGTTATTTTGTCATTCAACTACTGGCTCCATCTCTGAATTGCACTCAATATTTTTATTCAGTATTACCACTACCATTGTTTTTGACCCAGTGCAGCGCTTCTTATTTTTTATATTTAATATAATATATTTTATATAAATCAACTAACTTAAATTTAAAAAATAAAATAAAATCAATGCTACATATTGATACAAATCTGTATGTCTGGCTGACACAAAAAGTATAAGTACATCCACTAAAGTATTACAACATTTCCAAACTTCCCTGTATGTACTTTTTGTTTCACCTTTTCACCACCCAGTCACACACCCCCCTCCACACACACACACACACCCATTGCGCTCTCATTGATAGACTTACCAAGAATAAGTAGCTCCTTCCCAGACCCCATGTCAAAGGCAAACCAATATTTCCACACAGCTGATGACTTTATCAGAACGATAAATAAGTTGTAAATCTTGTAAATCTGCCTGATGTCCTGAAAAAAGAAGTTTAGATCCTGTCACAAAGTTCAAGAAGGATTTCAGTATTTTTCAGACTTCTTTGTTTTCCAAGGTACATAAGATCCACAAAGTATGAGATAAAAAAAAACAAAAAGTGAACATTAAAAGGATGAATTTTTTCAGTTGAGAATAATTCTGTGTGGAAGGAACAATCACAGTGAACCTTCACCAGCTTTCTTCCTCTCTTAGATTCAGACTTAGACTGAGCACACACAGCTCTCCCCTTGATTCCCCACCCACCTCCACCCCTCTCTTGCTCTCGCTCTCTCTCTCTGCCTCTCTCGCTCTCTCTCTCTGCCTCTCTCTCTCTCTGCCTCTCTCGCTCTCTCTGCCTCTCTCTCTCTGTGCCTCTCTCGCTCTCTCTCTGTGCCTCTCTCTCTCTCTGCCTCTCTCGCTCTCTCTCTCTGCCTCTCTCTCTCTGCCTCTCTCTCGCTCTATGTCTCTCTTTTTCACTTGTTTGTGTGGATTGTCTCTCTCACCTCACTATTTCTTGCGTTTTCTTTCACTCCATATCTTCCATGTCAACACATTTCTCACACTGGCCGCGTATCACATTGCTTGCACAAACCCCCCCTCTGTCTTCACATTTCCCTTTACGCTCCAGTGGGCTCTATTTCAGGAGCTATTCACAACAGTCTCATGAGAGGCAGAAGGAAAGAGGAGGGGGGGAGCAGTGAACGAAGAAGGGGTGATGACTAACACTCAAACAGCTGCTGCTGAACTTGAATTTTGCCAGTAAATACTCTTGTATCCGTTCCATATCTCCTCAACTCCTACTCTCTGTCTCCTCCTACTTGTCGGCCTTTCTCCACAAATGTTCAGCCCTTCACCCAATTCCAGTGACAGACCTTCTGTGTTTTCTCAACCCCCCACACAGCATAAAAAACAGACTGGAGATGAATGCAGGATTACCTCTCTTCAAGTGAAGTCCATGATACAATGGTGTGGTTCACAGGAAAAGGGGTGGTAACATGATACCATTTAAAGGGGCACTATCATATCGTTTTGACATGAATCTCCAAGCTAAAACACATTGAAATGAATTACATCACTAAATTGAGATAAGGTTTCATGATGACTCAACAAGTAGCCCTTCAAGTAAGCTTAATAATACTCGAAAAAGTGTGAGGACACTTTGGTTAGAGTCTTAACAACTTAAAACTAAAAACAAAAGTTCAGTTGCAGGAGCTGTAACTTTAACCATTATACCCCATCTCCCTTAGTTACACTATATGGATAATTATAATATTATTATTTCAGAATCAGAAATACTTTATCAATCCCCAAGGGGAGATTTGTTTTGTTAGAGTTGCTCACGTAACAAGACATTATGAAAATGGATTTTGTAGGCTACAGTATGTGACAGAAATGTAATGAATAAATAGTATTGAATAGTATTTAGTATTAATAATGAGCACTGCTAATGTGGAGAGCTGGTATAGATTTAAATCCTCAAACTGCAGTATCTAGACAGAATAAACTGCTATATTGCACATCAATCAAGTACTGAGTAACATTCAAAGGTCCAGTTTTATGACTATGAGTCAGATTGTCTGACATCCTGAGGTAGGAGTTTGATGGAATTACTTCCTGTGGTGCATTTTGGAGGGATGAGTCTTTCACTGAAAGTACTCCTGTGTTTGACCGGCAGGTAATTTGTGTCAACAGATCAACAAGCTGTGTGTCAATTCAAGGTATGTGTATGTGTATGTATATAAATATAAAACACCATCCAAAAATACAAAGATTTATAAACTCCAAAAATATTTAACGGATCTGCAAATTCACAAATTTCATAACATTTCACAAATGAATAATAAAAAATATCTTCCTAACATTTACAACTTCCGAACAGGAATTTATGAATCCAGTTTTTATTTGTGGATGTCAATTCTGTGCTTGTGGATTTTCATTTTACACACAGAGTGTATCAGACTGTCTAAATATGGCATGACATATCTTGTGTTTGGCTCTCAAAAGACTAAAACTATCCTAACCATGCTCCAAACTCTTTAAATGTGGAGTATCACTTTTACTGCAGCCCCCCAACCACTTTTACATGAAGAAATCCCAACGCTTGACAGGCCTAACATGCATAGTTATAGTTGCTAAGCTATGATTGAATCATTGCTGTAGGGCAGAGGGGTTTAGCAAATTGTAGGTTGAATTTTGCTCTACTTCTGATGCAAGAAGACAGACAAACAAATATGGAAAACACAGCAGCTGTGAAGGACAGGCTGGAGGGGGAGAAACGAAAGACGGTGTGTGACCATGTTAGACAACTGAGAGTGAGAGGAGAGTGGTGAGAGTGGAACATATTAACCCACTTAATGTACATTTATGAAATCCAGATACGGGCCTTTTCTAGATGTGTGAGATGATATCAGTTGTCGTGGTTGCCATGCAACACACAAAAACAACTTTTACCACATAACTTCGATTATGTCAATATGTACTCTTATGTGACACAGATGGTAGGTGTAGATAATTTGAGGTTGTCTGTGCATGTTGCAAAGAAGCAAGTGGTCAGCAGCTCTCTTCTCTTTCTAGTGAGAAAAACCTACAAAGTTGTTGCTACCCTATTACAGTTACAGCTACAGTTTCCATAACAAGCTGGTAGCATAGACTCAGCCTTTCACAGTGAGAGAAAAGCTAGCAGACATGACCTCTATTTTTCCTTCATTCAATCTCTCATTGTCTGTCTTCTTTTCTTAAGTATCATCTTGACTCTGTCATAGTTTTTCCATCATAATGGCGACAGCGGACCAGACATACGGAGACAAATCAGCAAACGCATGGAGACAGACAAACCACCCGCACATGTAGGCAGGAAAGGGATGAGAGAATGTAAGTTCATGTCCTCTCATCTTCTTTAGTAAACAAAAGGCAAAATAAAAGCAGATGCATCTTGCTATTAGTGTGTGCATGTGGTTGCATCGCTCTATCCTCGTTTGTCTATGTCTGTGTCTCAGGCTGTGAAAAGCAACTTTATCTGTAACTGTACTGTCATACATTTCAATGTGTGTGTGTGTGTGTGTGTGTGTGTGTGTGTTGGGGGGGGGGGATGTTGGCAGCCGGTGAACATTAATCCCACATGCATTAAATTGGTGTCTGCCCATTGTGACCGTCAGTCATCCAAAAGGAGAAACTGTATGGGAAAAATGGAATCTGGGATGGGATTTATGCAGTGTTATTTATTGTTATTTAAGACTAACATGACAGTAGCAGTAATTGTTAGACAGTTATGAGTAAGCTGTAGTGTGGTTAATCCCTTGTTTCAAATTAATATTTGCATATGTGTGTGACATATTTTCAATTGATCAAAAAAAATTAACAGAATCACTTCTCTGACTGGCTTTCCATACTGACACAGTACCATATATATAAAAAATGGCTGATCAGTCTGCTAATTTAAATATAGCCATATGTGGGTGGTGATGGAGCAGTGGATGAGACGCATGCCTTTGCTGCAAGAGACCTGGGTTCAATTCCCATTGCAGCACATCCATCAATGTGTCCCTTAGCAGGACATTTAACTCCTAGTTGCTCCAGAGGTGTGTGACCTCTGACATACATAGCAATTGTAATTCTTTGGACAAAAGCGTCAGCTAAATGTGATGTAATGTAGGCAACTAACCTGCAACACCACAGACATGTTACAAATGATGTGCAAATTAGTTACATTAGAAAAACATGACATAAGACTTCTTCCACACTTCCTCCATCAAACTTTTAAAATGCCTTTCTATGTTGTGTGTGCATCCATGAGTCCAATTGGTGTATGCACACTGTTGATTAAAGGCAGGATAGGCAAGTTGTTTCTAAAACATTATTTGTCATATTTGTTGAAACTGTCTTTATACACCAAGACATATTAAATAGTTAGGTGCTCTCTCTTAGGTGGTCTGTAGTCCTCTCAGGGCTGCAATAAACACAGGACTCGTTTCATTCGGACCGAATGCAATGATTGGCTGGCTGACTGTCCTTGCTGCCATGGCTACCAGCCCTGCTGCTGCAGGAGCTGCCTACATGCGTGCACCCGGTCAGCTCTTAGACCTGACCGAAGCGGTCAGATCGGAGGTAATGTCTGCGTGGCTTTTCAACGACGGTGAAAACTGAGGTACCCCAAGTGGCTGAAGTTACACCGTAGTCGCTTCATTTCTGCTGGACAGGTAATCTGGCTTTTTTCATTTTGATGGTAATTTGTTACTTTCATCGGTAGCCAACATAGCTATCTACTTAGTATACATCTAATGGTAGCTACCTACTTAGCAAACATCTAATTGTAGCGACCAACTTAGTATCTTGCGTTTCTGTTGTATAAGCTACTTATTATATAGTTTGACACTGTTCATAGCTAAACCTACTGGGTGAAAACCTTTTACTTTAATTGGTGCTGTTATGCCATTATTTATGTTACTAGAAGTAAAAAATACTGTATGTTTTATTTCTACTGTGCCCTCAGGTCACCTGCAGATTTGGAGTCTTTCATAGCCCCGCTGTTCTTCTCACCAGTATACGCTGTTCGGACCATCCTGGCTGGCCTGGATTACAACCACCGTGTCCACAGTCCAGCCAGGTGAAAAGCTGATGACACAATTCAGTATGTCGCATTTTATTACTCCTGTGCATATTACTCAATATAAGAGAGGAGTCAAAAAAATTATACAGTATGAGGAATACAGATAGATGATAGATTTATTGTTGTGATTGTATTTTATGTGCTAATGCTAATTACTGTATAAGAAAACAATGTCAGGTATTACAAACATTTCACTTAGCTGATCCTCCTTTCTGTATTATCAGGTACAGCAAGGTGTACAACAAAAAAGTCCAGGAAGTGGAGCTTGTACTCATTGAAGGTGGAGAAGGACTACAGTTAAATCGCAGACCTCCACAGTGCCACCCTTGTCCTCTGATGGTTGTCTACTACTGAGGAGATGCCTAGAAGCAGAACCAGGAGACCCGATGATCCCCGTCAACACGGGGTTCAGTCAGGTGTCCCCAACTGTATTCCAAGATACAGCAAAACTTACAACAAAAAGTAATATTGTTTGGACTGTAGCACATCCCTCCGAAAGATGGTCTGACATTTAAACTGATGATTTTAGATTTATTGGAAATCCCAAAACCAACGTAAGAGCAGGTTACAAAAGTAAACAACACAAACAACAACCGCATTAGCTACCTTACCATATAGTTTCAGAGCATTAGCATAGTTTAGCACTAACTCACAAGCCCAGTATTTGCACAGCTATAAACAGCCACAATTGTTCAAACTACTTCAAAAACACCATCCCGATGTTAATATCACAGTATTATGATAAATACTAACCTTGTGCCTCTTCAAAGGGGTGCTAAAACGTTAAATCTTTCACTGTGTGTGCATATTACAGTCTCTCCGTCGCAAGTAGCAGGACTAGTTACGGTGCCAGCGGGTGGCTTTCAAAATAAAAGCACCTCTAGTCAGAACAGGAAGTAAGACACTAGGGCTTAAACAAGGTAAAATACTTAATAAAGCCTACTGAAATGACTGTTCAATAATAATATTTCTTCTGTAGAGCTAAACATATACTGGGTTATTTACATGGACAATGCTACGAGTAAAATCTGAACTATCTTCATGATCAGTAAAGACACCTCTGGACACACCTTGTCTCTTCCTGTATATACTTATTTTTAATGATGTTTAAAAAGTATCTATTTGTGATATAGGTTGTAGTTTTAGTAGTATCTAATAACAATAAACAAGTGTTATATCACATTTGGATGTCATTATTGGAGACATAAGACATAAATGTAGTTGATTGTTTTGCTGCAAGTGTAAAGATATTTTATTTAAAAAAGAATGAAAATATCCAGAATAGGGAAAATATACTTTCTATTTTTCTACCCTACCCACTGTAGTCTGGATGTTGTCCACAGTCCTCAGATTCTGGCCTATAAAGGAATATATAGTTGTTAGAACCCCAAATTGGAAAGATTGGTGTAATAGGACAGAACATTCATCAACTTGATTTTATTTTATTAATGCTGTCACCGTGGACTGAACATGCGAAACCACGTACATGTTATCAGTCTAACACGAAATTAACGTTCGTGTAGTGTAAGTCATGGTAACGGGAAAATGTGTATCAGACATTTTCATAACAGTTAGACCACAGTACGTAACGTTACTGTAGTGGATGGGTCTTTCACTATGGTGTTGTCCTGCACCGCTTTGTGGCAGTATTGTACATTATGTGGGTCATGTAAGTTACAGCAACTGAGAGGTGGAGATACTGTGTAACTGAGTATCGGTTAAAACAACAATAAATCTAAATTGAACGTTACAAAGCAAACAGTGGTAGATGTGTGCTAAAGTAGCTGGCTGTCCTGCCTGCATCACTACAGGCTAGTTTAAACAAATCATTCCATATTTGCTTTGCTTACATCCTTTCTTGCATGCTAAAATCAACACAAAACACCGGTGGTACACAGGATACTAACATTGGTTGCGATTGCCATACAACTTAATTATTTTGCAACGGAAAACTTTAGCAACTATTTGACTTTAACTTGAGCCCACTAAAGCACAACATCACAATATATTTCACATGCATTGCAGTAATGTTAGTTTAACTGTCCAATAGAATGAAAGCCAATTCTGTATCGTTTTGTCAGTTCCAAAACAAAGCGAAGGTCTCTCTATGACTCAAGGCTTTCTGAATGACTCAGTCTGATTCTCGTTTGGCCTGAGGGGCTTCAGCACAAACTTTATTGTTGGTTTTTATCTTTTTTGTGGCTGTTGTGTTAGAGTCTGTGTTGTGCTAGGAGCCGGTCGTTACTTTTAGTTATAGCGGACTCCATCTCGTTAGCTGGGGTGTTTTTGCTGTGTGTACCATACAGAATCAATAAGCAAGACACTCGGAGCCCGCATGAAGTCAGAGCCAGTGGATTTCCTGGAAAATCCGACCCAGAGTCTTCACATTGGATTAGGCATTCTGGCCATCAGAGGTAACAGAAAAAAACGGCAAGTGGATCGTTTTTGTGTGAGATTACAACCCCTTCATTAAAAAATGCATGGTCTTCATATGGGGATAAAGGTTGCACTGTTGTCAAGCACTAAAAGAGCTGTGGATAAAACTGCATCAACTAGTGAATTTCAACATCAGGGAACATGAAGGCACTATAACTGCTGGTAATACAACATCTTGTACTCTTTATTTAGTCACACTGTATCTCCTTAGAGATTACTGATTTCCACTAACTATATCTCAGCATGAGAATCTCCAGGACATCAACGCTTCTAGATTTAAAAAAAGCATGATTGCAGCGTGTTTCTTGTTTTATCTGGCTTTGAAGGTGGGGCATCACTTGAGCATTTCGACACAACAAAACTCAAATCAGTCCTAACTGAAGTCATGATGTTTTTACAGGGCAACAGTAATATATTATGAACCATAGCTACTAAACTAAAAACACATAGGAAAATAGCTGGATAGGTTTGCCGAGTAATAACTTTTTCATGGCATATCTGTCACAAACATAGCTGTACTCAGCATTGCTCTGATTAATATGCATAGACTGTAAAACAGGTTACGAGCAGAAACCTTCTGGGAAACATTTCAGACTAAAGACGGGTTGATTGGGGATAGCTTGTCCAATTGGGGTCAAAAGCTATGTCCCCATTTGGAAGAAAACTGATTTTTGAGTCAGCGGTTAAGTTAGATTAGGGTTTGGGTTAGGTAAGTAGTGGTTAGGGGTAGGGTTAGGGTAAGTCTCCAGAAAATGAATGTAAGAATGTAAGTAGTGTGTGTGGGTTTGCTTTTCTTCATTTAGTAGAACTTTAAAGGGTTCTTTGGGGGGACTTGGTTTTAGGGTCAGGGTAAAGTTAGGTTAAAAAATGGGTTTACATATTCCTACACCTATTTACATCTCACAAAAGTGAGAACACCCCTTACATTTTTGTAAATATTTGAAGATATCTGTGACAACACTGAAGAAATGACACTTTGCTACAATGTAAATAAGTGAGTGTACAGCTTGTATAACAATTTGCTGTCCCCTCAAAATAACACATCACACAGCCATTAATATCTAAACCGCTGGCAACAAAAGTGAGTACACCCCTAAGTGAAAATGTCCAAATATTTTGTGTGGCCACCATTATTTTATAGCACTGCCTTAACCCTCTTGGACATGGAGTTTGCCAGAGCTTCAAAGGTTGACACTGTAGTTCCGGCAGAGCTTCAGTCTCTATTCATTCAACTTACACTGTAAATTTCCAGCTCAACTTTTTTGAAGACCCTTTTCTCTCGCATGCCATTCACCGGTCTTGTGCAGAGTTTTACATGCATTCCGTGCTTCCGCAGGCCTATTTCAAGTAGCCGGCTATTTAAAAACTATTAAAATATTCTTTGTGTGGTTGATCAGTGGTGATAAATTATCTGAAAGTCCCAGAGACCGAACCCCAGCTTCACTGGTGTTCGGTCTCTTCAGCAATCATTACTCTTCTGACACTACACACATACACGCTATGCCTACACATGCGCACTGACGACCCAGGATTAGGGTTTCAATTTTGGATTTATTCACGCACTTTAAAAACATTTTTTGAACTGTGACATTGACAGTCGAATCAGGCTCCGCCCATCGAAGCATGGAATCTTCGACTATTTGGGGTCAGCCCTACAAGACACACTTGTCTTTGTACTCCTCACCTGGTTTCCGCCACACACGCTTGACACCATCTGAACCAAATAAGTTTATCTTGGCCTCATCAGACCACAGGACATGGTTCCAGTAACACCTTGTCCTTAGTCTGCTTGTCTTCAGCAAACTGCGGGCTATCTTGAGTATTATCTTTAGAAGAGACGTCCTTCTGGGATGACAGCTATGCAGACCAATTTGATGCAGTGTGTGGCGTAAGGTCTGAGCGCTGACAAGCTGACCCCCTACCCCTTCAACAGCACTCATACATACTCATATTCCCAAAGATAACTTCTGGATATGAAGCTGAGCACACGCACTCAACTTCTTTGGTCGACCATGGCGAGGCCTGTTCTGAGTGGAACCTGTCCTGTTGAACTGATGGTCTTGGCCACTGTGCTGCAGCTCAGTTTCAGGGTCTTGGAAATCTTCTTATAGCCTAGGCCATCTACATGTAGAGAAACCATTGTTTTTTTCAGATCCATCAGGTGGCATGTTGAACTTCTAGTGACCAGTATGAGGGAGTGTGAGAGCGATAAAACCAAATTTAACACACTTGCTCCCCATTCACACCTGAGACCTTGTAACACTAACGAGTCACATGACACCGGGGAGGGATAAGGGCTAATCGGTCCCAATTTGGACATTTTCACTTAGGGGTGTACTCACTTTTGTCACCAGAGGTTTAGACATCAATGGCTGTTTGATGTGTTATTTTGAGGGGACAGCAAATTTACACTGTTATACAAGCTGTACACTCACTACTTTACATTGTAGCAAAGTGTTATTAATTTCAGTGGTGTGACATGAAATGATATAATCAAATAATTACAAAGATGTGAGGGGTGTATTCACTTGTGAAAAATAAAGTATAGTTAGCAGCTTTTCAACAGGCTAGGGAAGAGTAATCCTCTTATGTGGCTTCTTAGCTGTTTGAGTCATATTTATTTGGGGTTTCAAATCAAATGTCTTTATTGTCCACAAATGTGGAAATGTATCTTTACCTTCAAAGGCTGATTAAAAACCACATCATTAAAAATCACAATACAAAAACACAATAAATAACACAACATACACAGTACAGACCATAACGGAGAGTTTTCCAGAGTGGAGAGATTATGAATTTAGTAAGATTATTGCATTTTGTATGAAAGACTTTTTGTAAATGGTCTTAGTTGCTGCAGCTGCTCTTTTTTTTTAAATGTACTCTGTTTTGGCTGTAAAATTTAATTTACAATCAAAAATGGTTCCTAAGTATTTAAACTCCTCAACTGTCTCAACAGGCTTATTGCTAATCAAAACAGGAGAAAAATATGGACAAGCACTGTTGTGTCTCACGATCGCTAGCTTTTCAGTCTTCTTTTCATTAATGAAGAGGGCACTGAGCTCACACCACTTAGTGAGCTCTTGGTTGTGTTTGAGATATGTTGACTGCTTATCTGTGACTCCCATCTGTATAAGACCAACAACCACCATGTCATCAGCATATTTCTACAATTGATGTGTCAAATTCATACTCTGCATTTCATTTGTATATAAAGAGAACAAAACATGTGAAAGCACACAGTCTTGAGGTGCTCCTGAATTCAAGATAACTGTATCAGAGAAAATATTACTACTGCACTTCACTCTCTGTGGCCAGTCTGTAAGGAACTCTTTAACC